TGCCTCCACCAGTGTGTGAATGTGAGAGTGAATGAATAGTGGCATTGTAAAGCGCTTTGGGTGCTTTGAAAAGCGCTATATAAATCCAATCCATTATTATTATTATTATTATTATTATTACAATTAAATATTACAGTGAAGGAAATAATTTTTTGATCACCTGCTGAATTTTTAAGTTGGCTTACTTCCAAAACCTTAAAAATTTCCAATATTTATAGTATTTTCATTTTGATGGAGAAGGACATCAACCAAAACTCCAGAAAAACATTAGATAAATATAAAGTAAGACTATAATTAGCTAAGAGACCTGAGTCCAGCTATAGGCTTTTAGGTAATGGTTTAACTACCGCCAGCTTGAAAGCCCGTGGTACGTAGCTGATAGCATAGACAGGCTGATCACATTTAAGATTAACTGTTGGACGTCTTTGATCAATCTTGAAATGGAGGCTAAAAGACTCCAGTGTTATCCTCTGTGCTGTTGCAAGCTGGGCAGCACGTTGAGGGTCACTAAGACAAAAAAAACTGATCCTTAAGGACAGTAACCCTTTGGAGAGTGGAGCTGTGCTGCAGAGGGCAATGTTGTCCAGTATAAGAACAATGCTGGACAATACCTCCCGCCCATCACATGAAGGTTTGTGGCGGAGCTGAAGCTTCGAGTTGCAGAGCAGCTTTCAAGAAGTCTACAGGAGAGAGCATCTGTAGAGAGAGGAGTCGGCTAAAACCCCTCCTGAGATGGATGCAAACCTGGTGACCGACTACAAGAAACACTGTACCGCCATGCATACCAACAAAACTGAAACTACCATAAAATTAGAGACTGTTCATTTCTTTCTCAGAGAGCTAACTTATCGATTCAGTGGGAGAGGAAAGGATTATTTATTATATATCTTCTTTTATTGACCCAGTTCCAACCCCAAAATGTTGTTACCACCAGTCACCACTGACGCATAATATTTTCCTAGAAGTGTTGCTATGGAAACACCTGTCTGGACAGAGATAATCTGATTGGTACTGTAAGCATGAAAACTCGTACCTGTTGGTGTTCGGGATTGTTCTGGTTCTTGCTGCAGATTGTTTTGGTTTATCGTCAGTGTTTTCTCCCTCCAGTAGGAG